AGTCATTACTAAAAGATATAAAGTCTGTTCCGTTTGTGTAATAATTTAATAGATACAATGCGTAGCAAAAATCACCAATTTATAACATAAATCTGTCGAATAATAAAACTTGTTACTTAAACGTTCTTCCTGAACTGATAAAATCTCTTAATCCCCTCTTAAAACCTAAAGGAAGCCATAACGCGGTTAACACAAGTTGAACCTATTTAATACGATACTCTATCTACCATCGAGCAATGGTTATGATGGCTTTTATATCTAAGGCCTCCACACGATCCATAAGTGCCCGTGTCATTACGTACAGCTTACACTATATCTGATGAAGGCAATTTTTTTGCCACGGCCCTTACATTTTATGAGTTTCGATAATATCAGAAGGGGTTGTTTTAAGCGGCTGCGTTTGTTGGAAAATACATTGTAACATTGGTGGATAAAATTTAACTTCAGTGTTGTTTATGGGGAAAGTCTTAAAATAGAATTTTTGCTTAAAGTAATTTAAGAGTTACAGTACATTTTCGTATAGGATGTGTAAGTAATGGAGTATCCGTAAAAGTGCATTGTTTTTTTAGTTTTAAGTCAACCTCATAGTTAATTTTGACGACCGAATGGCGTAGTGGTTTTTGTAACGGACTGCTATTCGTCTTGGTCGCGGGTTTGATTCCCGCTCAAGTCAAACATTTGTGTGCATGAACTTTTAATGTTTAATTTGGTCTGAGCGTTTCTATGTATAATATTTAAAAAAAAAAAAATTTGTATTTATATCAGTTGTCTAGTAGCCATAGTAAAAGCTCTGCTTAGTTTGAGACTAGATGGCGTTGTGTCAAGTGTGTGTGTGGTAGAATATTATTATTATTATTAACTTTAGTTTGTTTAAGGAGTAAACTTTAGTAAGCTTTCTCAGTCCCTCTCTCTAGTGAGGATTCATGAGAGTAAGTTATAATCCTTTACCTATAGTATTACGCGAAGACTTATCAGAACTTGTTGAAATAGGCCAAAGTTCCACGAATCTCTTGAATGCGAATACGATATTCAAACATGCTCACTCTTGTTTTGAAAGTAGGATGCTAAATTCTAATTCCTATTATTTTAATTGTTATCGGCTTTGGTTCAAATTAGTTCAATTTTGGGTTATGTATTGCCACAGTGATAAGGCAATCCATAGATCTTTAAAATTCATTTACGTGTGAGAAAATTTGTCCTTTTCGAGCTACTGTGTGGAACCCGTAACCAAATCTAAGACTTTCAGTATCTTTCACCCTATTATAGGTGTTATCGTTTACCTTTTCCCATTTAATCTTCTTTCTTTGTACGAGATAAATAAGAAGATGAAATTGTTGATGCTCAGGTTTCAAAAGAAGAAGATAATGTAATTAACATTACATTTCAAAAGCAAATTTTACAATCATTTAAAGATATTCGAACTCATGGCGTACAGCAGTTTCGGTTCGTTTAAGCCGTGTGCCAAGTCCCCCTGCGCCCGGTCGCTTTAACCGGAGTACGTTATGAACGACGTCACATTATGAAAGACGACTACACTTTTAACATTACTCCCAACTTTAGACAACTATTTATTTTGTTTACAGCTTTCATGTTTCTGCTTTCAGTGTTTGTTTAGAATTTCGTAGCAGTCTACGGCGTAGTGACTCAATTTGTCTACGGCGTAGACATCCGTGTTTTGTCAATACCTCGACAACATATTTTGTAATAGAATAAAACTTTATGATATTCATATTTAATTGCCTTTATAGTTTATGTAGAAGTTTATTAGTTTGTTTAGGACCCGAGTGAACAACATATTGTTAAGAAAACAAATCTACGAGTTAAATGATGCTAGGGTGGAAAGTGATCGTTTCGTGCCTATTCTCCATAGAAGCTACTTTTGTAACAGAAAACTAGCTTCACTACTGACTTAGTTTGACTGACTCCTACTCCACACAATAAAAAATCTAACAAATGGTTTAATTGTTAAGTGCACGGATGGCGTAGTGGTTTAAACGGTCGCCACGCCGCTTCCTACTACACCGATTGTTGTGGGTTCAAACCCCACATGGGACGACACTTTGTGTGATCCACAAATTGTTGTTCTGAGTCTGGATGTTCTTTGTGTCCGTTTCATGTATGTTTGTAAAGTCCCCCGCGACACAGGATATATTCCTAATGCGGGAGTTGTCTTTTATAAAAAATAAATAAAAAAATAATGAAATAAGTGATTTTTATTATTTCCAAATATTGCCAGGGATATAGCAAACCGACATATGAGAACCTTCTTACAGGTAGAATAAATGATCAAGAGAGAAAAAGAAAACATATATGTCGAATAATAAAAGGAGGGGTTATTAAAAAAAGGGCAGACCCGCTGACCCAGTTGGGGCCAACGGTTCTGCTTACAATATCATAGAGTTTAATATTCCTTTTTTTGTAACTATTTACAATACGCATATGCAATCTAGTAAAATATTTGTATGAAGAGGTTCAGCAATAAAAAGCAAGTAAATTAAACATCACAGTATCAATTTATTATAAATCAAATTAACATAGTTTCACTTACAATGTTACGCCGTTCGGAGTCGCCAGCAAACTGAGCCTCTCGACTCAAATCGCTGGCTTTTATAATGCACTCCCCGCCATTCCAAAGTTTACGTCACATTAACACGTGGTTTTACAAATACCCACATAATTGAATACCTACCTAATTCTATGCAATGTCATAGTTAAACTCTAATTACAATTGTTTATCAAATCTAGAACTGTTTGTTATTGAATCAATCTGCGCTTAGTAATTAATAATTTAGAATAATGTTAATAATTTAATCATCCATTTATAAATGCGGCGACATATATGAATTTTAGTCCGCGTGGTGATGGATTAAGAATACGGAGTGTCACCATCCCTATTCATCCCGTGGGTGTCACAAGAGCCGACTTAGGAAGCAAACTACGCAGGACAAAAAGTACTACCAAGAGAAGGAAAACTTGACACAAGCCCTATATCAACCCGTCTGGCAAGCGTGGTATAGTAGCCCATAACCTTCTTTCTTAGGAGAGGCTTATATCCAGCAGTGGACTATTAAAGGCATTGGATGTGATGATGTAGGAATTTTCAGGATACTGTTCAAGGGTTTTTTAACTAACCTGTGGAACAAATTGTCTCCTGCGGTATTTTCAACTTTCAAGAATGTGTAAAATTAAAGAAAAAGTACCATGGGCGGCGGCGTTTGTTTCCTCTTGTATTCTAGAAAATATAGAAAGCGTTAAAATAATCAAATATTAAACAACTTCTTATTACTTTGTATGATTATTTATTAATCAACACATAAAATAAAAAGCATTTTCAAACATCATTCAGGATATCGTACCCTTGGGACTTGTTCTCTTCCGTTACCCAAGAATATTTTATTCGTTTCTATTGCGGCGGCTGATGGGCTTTCGGTAGCTTACCAAAAACAACCTTAGAATAGTTTAATCCCCAGAGACTATCAGTGGATGATAAGTAATGTTCAGTTCATGACAGGACTTTGGGGATTCGCTACATACATAAACTTATGCATACACACATACAACACGACACATCATATATGGACATATTATATTAGTACACTATGAATACCGGAATGTAGAGTTAATGTAGATTTTATCAATGGAACAGGTTGACAGTTTGAAACTTATTTATTAACTGATTACTTAAGTCAAGGGCTAAACCACATCCCCTCAGTGATAAAGATGTCAGTGAATATATGTATGAATATTTTAATTCATGGATATTTCGTTAAAAATAAACTTTATTTCCTGTTCTTTCCTTGCAGATCTACCAAGATTCATAGGCTCCGGTTCAAACGTCACTGCGGCAGTTAGCAGAGATGCAGCACTCACTTGTAGAGTTGAACATTAACAAAGTTTTAAAGTAAGTGTACAGGTATTGACAAGCATATTCTAGGGCTGCTATTTCTGTTGTACTTGTTTATCAACTTTACTCGAAGTAGTAGTAGTGAACCGTGTATTCAGTCAGCCTCAGTTTATCTAACGCATTTGCAAGAATGATAACGTAACCCGTACTGGTACTATTTTTAATATGTAATACGTTATACATACATGTGATCAAAATTGTTACTGCTGGTCACTTTGTCTTGGATAAAGTCGTCATTAATCATAGGATAAGTCGTTTAGGATGAAATAAATTGTATATTGCAAGAACCTAATTAGAACTGTCGCTTACGGAAGAATTATAAACTTGAAACTTGGTAGAATGTAAAATAAATCTTGTCGAGAGTCATAAAGTTACATGTCAACGATATAAATATGAGAAATAATTCCCTTTATTATTATTGAACAGACTTATAAGAGACAATCGATTGGCGTGATATTGTATTATCAAGTTCACAAAGTTTATAAGCTTCCAGCATAGTAGGGTGTCTTTTTAATTAATTAGCGAATAATGAACAGAACATAAGTCGAGAAGACAGAACTGATACTGGGTATTGGGAAACAGATGTTCAAAAAGGCGATTATATTCGTCAGACGAAGCAACATCTATAATTTCATTTCTCTGATATTTGATTCGTGCATATACGAGTATGACAATGAACAAATATGAGAACGCTGAAACGAGCGAGGACGGCCCTCCACACAATGCGTAAGGGTACTCGTAATCTTGATTACATGACCTGTTTCAAAACTTTGCTTCTATGTTTTATTAATTTTAAAGTAACAATTTAAAAGTTTTTGCTATGATATTGATTGATATGATATGTCCAGCAGTGATGATGTTGATGATGATTTTAAATGCTTTAACCAAACATAAGTAATGGATTCACCTTAAATTCTCGAAACTTAAAGAAGTCTAGATTATGGATTGAATCATACCAGTATTCGATCAAGGCCGTTGATGTGTGATTGAGTGTCACAGGGTCAGCATTTGGTTGCATATAATAATATACGGATGAGGTATTAGTAGTTCAACCCAGTGTATGGTCGACAGAACACATATTTGCATTTATTCATGGATGGTATGTATTTTCAGCGCAAGGTGTTTCCGGAATCTGAATCAGACAGTTCTAGTAAAGGCTTAAATTTTTTTATCCATGTCTGCTTTTAATATATTTTTTACCGTAACTTGTATTCTTGTATGAAGTGAGGACGTGTTATAATGATAACGACTTTACCGTATCATATTATCATGTAATCAGTGTATCAAATATTTGTACTAGACAGTGTGACTGACAGCAGAGCAATGAATGCCCGTAAATACATGCCTCAGTGATGCGACGTAATTACTAAGGCAGTGTTGTTACAACGCCGTAAAAGTGTTTAATAGACAAACACCATTTTATAATACTGCTATAGTTAAGCGATGAACTCTTAAGTTTTATTTAAAACAATAATTACCTTAAAAGAGTGTTTCTGAAGTTATAATTTTGCTATTAAACCATTATATTTCTCTAATCAATTTTATTATATTAGTTTTGTTTTGTGTTTTTTACATTACGTGAAAAATTTACCACTAATTTTTTTATATTCTTAATGATAATTATAATATTAGTTTCCTTATAAGCCTTAAATGTACGCATTTCTATCGTGCTTCTGAATTTTGTAAATAAAATATATATATATATAATAGCTGATCCGGCAAACGTTGTATTGCAACAAAAAAAAATTAGGGATGGGTCACCCTTACCATTCAAAATTGTGAATCTAAACCATTCCCAGATCCCCTTGAACACACACAAAAAATTTCATCAAAATCGGTCCAGTCGTTTGAGAGAAGTTCAGTGACATACACACTCACAGAAGAATTATATATATATAAAGATATATACATATACATATATGTATATACAGGCATATTTTTGTTACTAAAAAGCTTAACTTTGTACTAAATAAATACCGTAGAATATCATTAAATCTTTTTAGATTTGAACTAATCTCAGGTGGCGTGGCTCCGCGTCGACACTCAAACTATCCTCAGTATCGCCGGCCACGTGATCACGAAGAACCACAGAGTGAGCGTGACCCACGCTGACGGCACCTGGACCTTAACCCTTAAGGAAATAGGTCCTTTAGATAGAGGAAGATACATGTTCCAAGTGAACACCGAGCCAATGATGAGCCAGACTCGTCTGTTACAGGTTGTAGGTAAGAGAGCACTTACCTGTTACTGTTAATAATGTAATAGGGGTTTCCTCCTTTTATTCACAAAATTAATAGACCTTATAGAGTTCCCCCTTATTCGTTACGTCATTGCCAGTTGGGTATGTTTCAAATAAACAAAAATTTATTATTTTCGCTCTTAACCAGAAAGAAATATAATATTTTAAAGATAATTATTTGTATCTCTGTTAAACAAACTTGTCGCAGAAAAAAATCTGAACTTTCATTTAATAAGGTTTTACATATATGTAGAAAAAATGCACATACTTAAAATATATGAAAATAATTAATAAATATAGTAGATCTCTAAAATTTGCAAATACGGCTCGGAAATACCAATAAACTCCAGTAGGTACTCCTATGGAGTAATAGTACTTGTAATGGTGCGGAAACTCTATATGACATTTCATATCTGACTTTAATAAATAGTAAAAAGCTATTGTTTTGCAAGTTCCACCCGATATCGACGATGACATCAGCAGTAGTGAGGTGTTGGTGAGCGAAGGTGATATCGCGACATTGAGGTGTGCAGCTTCGGGCACGCCACCACCTGACATTACTTGGAGGAGAGAGGATCATAGGCACTTTAGAATTGACAATCACACGTTAGGTAGGTACAGTTATTGATTTTTATTTATTACTATTTATTATTTTATTTTGATTTCACTAGATTAAGTCTGAAAATTTAGTTTTATTGATATCGATATGGATGACTAACAATTTGTTGATTTTGTTATTTAGAGTTAAATAAATGTGTTTTTTTTTAATATAAGTGCATCTCCTTTTCTTAGTAAAAGTACAAACGTTTTTTTAAATATTATATGTACTGGGGTACAGTATTTAAAAAAAGAAAAAAGAAAATAAAAAGAAAGTTATTATTTTAAAAAGCAACCTGCCGTTTTTGAACAGATATTACGTATAAAATGTATATTATATTTTTTTATTTCTTTATTTTAATAGTACATAACTCAAACTCAAAATAAATCTCAGGATAAAACTGTGAATGAACTAGACTAGAACTGAAGCAGAACTACTATTTGCACGATTGGGGAAGTTATAAATCAGTGTGATTTGATGCATCATGCTGATCAAATTTAGGGAAAGGGAGCTAGTATAACATAAAGAGAAACTCACGCAATTAGTGTATGTTATTGTATCCTCATTAGTAGAGCACTTAAACAAATTTGTGCATTCGTAAAATTGAACACACTTTTGTCACAAAAGTACTTACCTACTCTACATATGAGTATAAACATACCTACATAAAATCGTATTGACAATAACAGTTTCTTTTAGTCGCAGGAGTTTTAAGCAGTCTCATCTCATCTCAAAATAAAAATACACTAAATAAAATTGATTATGAATTACGTGTATAAAATAGCAAGTATAATATTATACTGTATCATATATTCAATGCAAATGAATATTTATACAGAAACTAATGCGATCACATATTACATACATTTTGAAGTCGGTAGTTGGTGGATAGACGAAATTTTTTAATCACCAGTATCTAAATGGAGCGGTCCCTGACTGAACCTGACAGGCGTGGAGCGAGTACTGTCGGGGGCGTACTTGTGCATCGCAACCCATTGGAGTACCTCCATCAGTCAGCAAGCGGATACAGATTAACGTGATATGTAAGGCTCCTTCTAGATAAATTGTTTCGTTCATAAATATTAATTAATCAATTGGAAGAAGGAAAACGTTAATGTTTCCGGGTGACATGTTACATCTTGCCGACAGAGAACTTTGTTCTTGTTACGCTCGGTGGATTATGTTTCAGAGATAATAATATTATATTAAGATATCCTATTGTTGGTACTAGAAAAATTAATCTTATTTTTAATGGTAACGAAAGTCAATGGATTCTGTATACAAGTTTTTATAGATGCTTGTTGATAAATGTCTTTTATGTCGTACAGAAGACCCCGTTAATTAAACTAAGTTTTAATCATTATTAAATTCACAATATAATTAATTGATGAAGATAGCACTTCATAAGTGAGAAAACTGTGATGATTGACATCATCATCATCATCAACAGCCTATACTAGTCCACTGCTGGACATAGGCCTCTCCTTAGAAAGGAGGTTTTGGCCTACTATACCACGATGATTGACAGATGTATCATAAATATCTCATCAATATAATAAATAAATATCATATCATATCATAAATATTTCTTAAGGTATTTTGTGATGAATGATAGATGTATAATAAATACTGAGGATGCTGATTGAATAACCAAAGATAAAATATGGCTTATTTAAAAAACACATAAACTTCTTAGCAGCACTTTGTATGTTGAATTTACTAAATATTTAGTACCTAATACTGTTAATTCTAAGTATGATGGTTCTCCTTTTTTAATTTACATATTATTTTTATTCGATCCTAACTTGGTTTTGATGTACAGTTGCACCGTCAATATGGGCAGGAAGAGTCACAATACGTGCTCCTTCAAGTAGCTCCGTCACCCTACAGTGTACTTCTGAAGCATATCCAATACCTCTGGTCTACTGGGTACTCAATAGTGAACACAGGATTGTTAATGGTATGTCGGAAAATAGTTTCTAAAGGAATAATAAAATAAAACATAAAATTTGGCAAATTTAAAAATATCGTGGAAGTCTATAACCTGCTTTAATACTTTGGATTGCCAAGCGCATTGAACGCATATCGCATAAACATTGATAGGACCATATCAAATATGGTTAGGTAGAGGGTTGTAACATAGCATACAGTGGAGGTGAGCGATTACGCATCACACGGAGTACTCCCTAAACCTACTCCTGGGTCGCAAATCCTAGTCGGTGTCGCAGTCGCATGTGTTGCCCCCATCCATCACGCGATGGACCCGGCACCCCACCGTGAATCCATGGAATGCTAGAGAGAAGTATATGTAATTATTTTGAATTAGAAGCTTAAATTTTCATAAGTTTAAAGCTTAAAGTTTCATTTTCATTAGTGTATCCTCATTCTTGTCAAACAATAAAACAGACAAGTGAGAGTCGGACTCGCCAACCGAGGCTTACGTACAAATTTGTAATCGAAAACTATAAATCTGTTCAAGCTTGTGCCAATGAAGCCCTTTTATACGATATCCCACATGACACGGTTAACTCAATTCAAAATTGGACCGGCGTTCCTTGCATAAAGACCCTGTTTTTTATAATATCATTACAAATGTATAGTTTTCAGATTTTTCTCTATACTTGTAGTGTAAGATGGTATTACTTGCCAAATTTCATAGTTCCAGGTCAACGGTAGATACCCTATAAATTTCAATTCCTTTGAGAGTGACGAAATTTATATTTTTTGCGACATAAACGGCCGTATCTTTTTTTCCGTTATTTTAGAAGTTTCATTTTTTCACAGCTTCCAGAGACTATAGGTTCCCGAGATAAAGGGTCTTGACAAACCGACAGATGGACGGACAGCAAAGTGATCCTATAAGGGTTCCGTTGTTTCATTTTGAGCTACGGCACCCTAAAAAGTTGAAATTGACAGACAGATTAACAATGAAGTATGTAATCCTATAAAGGTTCCTTTGTCCCTTGATCAGGAACGGAGCCTATAGAATTTCGTAGTATATACTACATACAGTGGTTATCACGCCGTTCCAGTCTCCAATATAGTTTCAGAAACTCTGCAAATTGACTATAAAATTAGCCTCATTAATAGAGTATAATTTCGGTAAATATCAGTAATCCTATTGTAGAGACTACTTGAAGTAATTTTACCACAACAGCAAGATTAAGCCGATTAAGTAAAAGTGTTAAAGTGACAGCTGGCTAGATAACAAAATAAGCCCTTTTTATTATTAATTTAGAAAACTTAAAAAAACACATTTCCTTGATTATCTTAATCGTGATTTTTATAAACAGGTACCAAATACCATCTCAGTATAATCACACGAGGATACAGACATACGCTGGATCTTACTGTGATGGACATGACGAGAGCAGACGCAGGAGCCTATAGGTGCCACACAAAGAACACGCTTGGGAAAGCTCACGCCGAGATATTCTTACATTGTAAATATTTCTGATATTTTCCATTAATTTCCGTATGAACCATTTTTATGAAAAAAAATGGGAAAATTAGGTGTACTTTTTAAACTACCAAATATCTGTGCAGTGTTAACAACGACTACGACGACAACAAGTACAACAACTTCAGAGCCACCAACCACCAAGTCACAGAGTATGACGTTACTAAGTAAGTGTCATCACCAACACCACCATTACCATCAATGAAATACCTGGAACTCCCATCATCATCACTATTAATCCAGAGTTCCAGGTATAATATAAAGCAGCAATTAATTAGGACAAAAAAGGAACACCACTCCGTTGTTAAGATCACTTTTGGAATTTTATTTAAAAAAAAAGACAAGCAATACATTATTTCGACTCTTATAATTAAAAGTATGCTTTTAAATTGGTAAAGTTTCGATTATTTTGCGGCTGGCCTATGGTCTGACAACCCTTGGGTATGTAATTGTTTTCAGATGGGTCAGGGAAGAAAATGAATTAGGATAAGGAAGAGAGTTAAGGTAATGTTTACTCCTGAGTTGCAGGCGTTCATGGGCAGCGGTAGTAATTTTCCGTCTTGTGACCCGTGGACTCGTTTACCCTCTCTATTATAAAAAAAACACCCAGAGTCTCAAATGTCGAAGAGTCTTTCCAGTGATGAGAGGTGCAGGACATTAACTCAGGTCAGATTTTGTAGTTATTTCTATTTTTTCCTTAAAAACCCTCGAACTTTAGGTTTAAATATTATCTAGTTAGTGCACACAGTTACTACAGGAGATTTCTCCTTCCTTAGTATTGTAGATCGAATTACAGATAAAGAAATAAAAAGAAGGGGATGTATAATATCGTAAACTATTTCAAATATAAATTATATACAATTATCAAATTATAAGTAATTGTTATAGATACAACTGAGACACATTGGGAGCAGCCGTACCGAGGAGTGCTCGATGACCCAGGACTTAATAATCATTATATTGTATTAAGTCAACAACAGCTTCAGAATTTAGGTGCCTAACTGTTAGAATAAATTTAATTAAACTGTTTTCTTAGTCCATGTGTTATAACTATATCATTACGAGTAATACTTATTTCTTGAACTTATGTTAGTTTGGTTAAGTATCAATATATACTAATAAGTATAATTAATTTAACAATTTCCAAATTAATTACTACTACTTACTAGTTGACTGGCACGTTGGTTTAGTAGCTAGAGGAACCTTACTGCTGAACTGAGAGAGGTTCCATTCCCACTTGGCACAAATAAAATAATTTTTTGCGTTTAGGTGTAATTTGTCTATTACATGTATTTTAAAATACATGATTATGTTTATCAGTAGTCTATTGAACGTAGTGCAGACTCTGCTTAGAGTAGGTTATTAATTACTTCTTAAGTCCATATAACCTCCTTTCTAAGGAGAGGCCTATGTCCAGCAGTGGACTTTTATAGGCTGTTGATGATGATGATGAAGTCCATATATAGTTATGTATAAATTACCAGCTGTACCCTACCACGCTTAACTGTGGCATAATGTAGTCGCATTGTTCTCATTAATTTGGAACAAAACTAGGGCAAAAAATAAATAAAAATCATCTTTGAAGAGTGTTGTATATTGTGTCAAAAGTTTGATCTCAATCGGCGCAGAACTTCTTGACTTTTTAAAGCGTACATAAACCAACCTAACATGTATATTTATTTAAATAGATTTTGTATTACAGAAATGATGATGACGATATGACCAAAGGCTGCAGACCGTCCCTGGAGTGATGGATGGTCGCCGCTGTCCGACTTAGCACCTGTATCAGAATATTCTAGAGGGTGGATTATTTTAGCTTCAATAATTGTGCTCTTGGCGTGACCTGAAACTGTCCCGCGGTGCAACTAGCAGGGTTACTCACTGTGGCACCGTTGAATTGTTAGAAGTACGGAATTGAATATTTAAAAACTTGATTGTAGTGTGGTATTTATTTACACTTTATGCACAAAGGTAATAAAGGCGGACTTAATGCCGTGGGCATTTTCTCCCAGTCAACCATAGGGCGATGTAGAGCTAAAACATGGCAGATGTTGTTTTATATGATCATTAGTGTCTTAAGTTCAAAAAGTCAAGATTGAGACTGAAAGTATCTAATGTTTATGCTTACAAAAATATATACCACCAATGATTTGTACATTTGAGTGTGACAAACAGGTATGTGTATTGTTTAAAATACAGTACAAGGCATGATTTCTATTTTGTATGCATAAGGTGTATATAAAACTAACCTTTTTTTTAAATTCAGCCAATAAGTTAAACAACAACTAACTAATTTATTGTCATTGTCAGGAGTCCTGTCAATAACAATAAATTCAATTGGGGTATTTCGTATAAAAGAGGTTAGGATATTTCGCTTGATAATCAAAATATACGGCTATGTACTCAAATATACGTCTGATAGATTATTACCGGTATGATCTTACTGAAATAAAAAGTTTGAATTATTCAACAAAATAAATGATGACATTATTTTGTATGTTTTTTCTAATGCGAAAACATTGGTTTTCACCTGTGCACTTCAAACAAACTCGATAATTTAGTAACAAGCTGAAGGCTATCTAGATATCACATATCTGACAAAAGCAAAACATAATGGTTCAGTGCCCTCGGTTATTCCCCTATACACACTTATTCTAATTACATTCATTTAATATAGGTAATTATTCAACATTTATTTATAAAAACAACGGGCCTGTTGGTCTTTTGGTTAGTGGCTCTGAGTGCTAAGCCGGAGGTCGTGGATTCGATTCCCACCCAGAACAAATATTGTGTGATGAGTACGATCATTTGTTCTGTGTGTGTATTTATAATATACACACATTCAGACACAATATGTTAATACAGGCTGGTTAAAATAGCACAGGATTTGCCTAGTTTCATCAGACTGCCGTGTGTGAGATGTAAAAAGTTATTATTATTAAAGCAAATATTTCGAATAAATCACTCGATAACGACATCCGAGCTATGTCACTCTCTTAGAGTTTTGTAAATTAATGAACAGTTGTTATAAAGAGTCATTTATTTAAGATCTAAAGGAGATTAGTATAGCATTAAAAAAAAAGTGAGTTGTTAAAACCTCTTATATGAAATATTTAGTACAGCCGTGAACTTGATACCCAGGTAGGTACTTAGATGCAAAGATCTGGTCTAAATGGTTCGTAAATTTGTTAAACATCAAATGTGAATCTTACCTTTGTATTCTGTAAATGTATAATATGTATATACATAATAAAGTAATAATTTGTCCTTGTATATAATTTGCATAAAGCCATATCATAGGACTCTATATAAATAACCATCAATTAAGTTATTAGATATTTAGTACTATTGTGTATAATAAAATAATAGCTAAACAAAGAGTTATATCAACTATGGTGTTTTTTGTTATGAAATTATGTTGTAAAATAAATACTTAAAATATTTCAGTTCTTGAAATCCATCGCAAACATATATTTTAATTATAAAGCTTGATAAAATAACTGGAATTATACTTAAAAACTTCAATCAAACGTTTAATAAATCAATGAAGTTTATTTACTAGAAAAACTAATTATTATCCTGTAATTTTACCCATACAATATAATAATCTAAAGTTGTAATAAATTAGCATACACCATTTCAATTCATGGACTACCCATGAATTGAAATAGTGTATACTAAATAATAGATAATTATATTAAATTATAAACTGCATCTTAGAACGAATGTTACATGAGGTAAATAAATTTTTAATACGTGCAAACTTTTTTATTTTCCGTTCACCTTAAACAATAAATTAGAAGCAGAAAACCTATTAATTACCGGTTCTGCCTAGTTATGGGGTCGATTTCCACTCGGGCCAAATGTTCGTTTGCTTAGCGAGTTCATTTGTCTACATCTAGGTGTAATAGAATAATGAAATCGGTTCAGAAGATGAAGATATCACTTAACATATAAAACAATCGTAACAGTCGAAGCTCAAACCTTTCTGTACGGATGGCGTAGTGGTTTAAGCGGTCGCTGAGTGTTGTGGGTTCGATCAACACATGGGACACCACTTTGTGTGATCCACAAATTGTTGTCTAGGTGTTCTTTGTGTCTATTTCATTTATGTTTGTGAAGTCCCCCGCGACACAGGATATATATTCCTAAGGCGGGAGTTGTCTTTAAAAAAAACCCCTTCTGTTTCATGTCAGTTAAAATGTAATAATACTCCCATTACCTAAGCATATGTAATAGTAACCCAATAATTCGCGCCGAGGGTTCCAGACGTACTCAGATTTTACGTTAATAGCAAGGAAAACCACAAAAATCTAGCATGTACTGGCCCTGTTTGGCCAATTCGAATACATAACCAGTAATGACAAAGAATAGTTTCTATTTGATAGTAAGGAAAAAACCTCTAAAGAAGGAGCAGCAGTACCCAGTGGAGCAATTCGCACGAAATGGTCTGTTCGTCCTCTGGGCATAGTGATACTCACGGAACATGGAATGGGGCGAAGGGAAGCGTTGCGACAAGTATTTAATATTACATTTGTGGCTTCTGTATCTATAAATAACCTTTTGAATAAAGTATGAACAGACAGGAAGAAAATGTATGGAAATATAAGCTGATTATTATTCTCATTTGCAATAAAATATATTATTTTCTGTAATAAATTTTACGAGCAGGCGCCTTAAACGTGACCGGTGTTAGCTCTTAAGTTTATAGCTTCATACTGTTATAAGTGCGAAATTCATTTCGTATTTAGTACAGAGTGCGAGGCTCAGGCGCGCTCTGTGCAGATCACAGCCTGAACAACTTTGCTGTTTTTTCATAAAGAATAATTCCATAATATGTCACACTTGCAATATTTTGAAATATATTCCAGAGACATTTTTTGACAGAAAGACAAATATTATATACTCAATAGTTTATTGTTTCTTTTATTATACATATGTTTATTTTACCTTTTAGTCTAGTGGTTAGTGATACTGACTGCTAAAGCAGATCCCCTGGGACTGATTCAAACTCAAGACAAAAATCGGTTGTCTGTAAAGTCGGTTTACTGACGATAGTTGAACGTGACAACGTCATAAGAAAATACTGAAGGAATGGTTGCATTTTTCAAAAATGTATTATTGTATACGAGTAGCAGCTGTCCACGCGGACGCATCGCTCGCTCAAGTAGGAGAGAGACAGATATCGAACGCTGCCTAACGCGGAGGCCGATTGTGCCTCTTTGTCGCTCGTTGGAAATGGAACGCCTCAGAGCGAGGTAACGCCGCATGAGTCATGTTTTTTCGTGCGTGCAGCCGGCTCCATCGAATTATAAGACGTTGTCTCGTCAAAAATTGTGTAAAGAGCATGATCATTTGTTCTGTGTCTTGGTGTAATTTATCTAAATAATGAGAAATATTTAAATATTAGCAAGCTCAAGTGGCAATGGGGTGGCCATATTTACCTCAGAATATACCATCGTTGGGTTAAACGCGTTCTTCAGTGGAGACCGTTTCTAGGCAAACGTAGTGTAGGACGCCCATAAGCCAGGTGGAGTGGCAGGAGTTGGATGCGAGAAGCCGAAAATCCAGGCCTATGTCCAGCAGTGGACTGCGATAGTCTGATGATGATGATTAAAATAAGTTTATTAGCAGTCCGGTATGTGTAGCATTGGCTCCGCTTAATTAAGGATCAGACAGCAGTGTGTAAGATGTGTCAAGATATTATTATCATAAATATTCTTATCTATGGAGAATAGTCACTCCTTAGAGTCAACTCAAAATAAGTCAAACAAAAAATCGACTTAGCTAAATACACTACTGATGATCTTTAAAAGTGGCAAGCTTGTTTGGAATATAAGCATGATGTTCACTACCCCAGGATGGGCATAGAAAATGTTTATATTATTATGTAAGTTTCTTGTATGTATGTTCTCACATCCACTTTGTGAACCATAATAAAAAAATAAGTATAATTTGTCAAGGCAACGACCCTCAGCAATGACCTCACGGCACAAGGAAC